TTTTCCTTCTCATAAAGTTGTCCCATAGTTAAGCTTCAAGGGGAAAAAAAGAGAAATGGTTTGCTTGGCTCATGACAGTTGCAAATATTAGCAGTTAGAACCTTGCATAAACAAGGAGTAATAAAAGCTAAAACTTATAAATCTGTTTATAAATTAAAATGCAAAAATGAGGATATATGAAAAGCAGTTGACTCTTGAGTTAGCAAAATGATCCTGGGCTCTCTGCATAGTAAATTTTTGATAATTCTTCACAAACGTGTTTGTCAGAACGCTTCCTTATTTTATTGGAAATAAATCATTGAATGTATTTCAGGTTCTGAACCGTGCATTAGATGCTGTGACTAATACCAGGATTAATGGCCTGACAGTACTTGAATGCAGCTGCATTAATGTCTTGCTTCTTGTGTGAGCAACCTCATTCCTCCCTCCACCTGGTATAGTTCTGAATGTTCAGCCAGTCTCTTTTTTGGACTGTTTCTTTGAGGTCCAGGTTGTTTTGGGGGGCAAAAGCTTTGTTTTCTATATTGTCAAAAAGTGATGACTTCAAATAGTGCTGGTACCAAAATATGTGAGCAATAAATTACAATTTAGTTGGAAACTAATGCTTTTTCAGTGGCTGAGGTTTTGAACATTTGATCAAATAAAAAATTTCTTAAACTTAATATGCATGTGGCCCTTCACAGTCTAAGCAGTTGTGGTCTTTAGGGCAATGTCTGTATTTTGAAACCAAAAAGAAACCCAAGCAATTACTTGGCCAGTACAACTGCTGCAACCATTTACCTACAGATGGAACAGGCAGCTGACATCAGTCAGGTGCACAAATGGTTCCTCCTCAGCTCACCTTTCTCCAGCTTCCCAAGACTGAGAAAAGGCTCATGAACTGAAAGGTGGAGAGCGGATGGGAGCGACAGGGAAAACAACCATGTCGTTCTACCCAAGAGAGGAGCTGGGAGGATTTGGAGGCAGTGCTTGAAATGGAAGAGAACTGGTGAGTAGCAGATAGATCACTAACCCTTGACATCCTCCTCTCCTCATCCAGTTTATGTAATAAACTCAGCCTATGAGATGAGCAGAGCCATTAACAGGATATTTGATCTGTTAAAAAGTTATCATTTTTACATTGATATTGAAGGTTCAAGGCCCTGTTTTTCCAGTTGAGATGTGACACCTCATAGTGAACATGTGATGTGAGACAATGTGTCTGCCTGTCCTGTTCCTAGCAGTTCTACAGTCCTGTTATGAAGATGACATACAGGCATTCCTTTTACTCTTAAAACAAAACAAGTAGAAAAAGATGGTTGTCATGGTTCTCCCCACTGTGCATCACAGAGTAAATAAAAAATGTTCCTGAGTCTGGACGGGTTACCTGGAGGGACTGTTACTGTTACAACAAGTAAGTAATAAGAATATTATTACATCTAAGCCATGTAACAACATGACTTACTATTTCTTCAAATGCTGTTAAAAAAATCTCCTGTAGAAAGCAGCTGTAGTAGCTGCTTCTGCTATATTCTGTATGTAGCAGACAACAGTGAAACTTACTCCTATATAAAAGCAATGTGAAAAACCTTTCTATAGCAATTGTGCATTTTTTTGTTTATAGATGAAAATAATTAACTTTTTAAAAAAGTAACAGCAACTAGTCTGTAACATAATTTCTTTGTAAGCTGACAAGTTATTGGGTTTTTTAGAATAATTTATGACATTTGCTATTAAATATTTAATGTGCACCTTTTTTGTTACATTGAGAAGAATAATTTTTTTGAGATTGATGATGTATGTGTTCTTGCACTCAGCCAAGGATATCATAACTGCAAAGCTCATCCTTTTGCCATGGAAGTAAATTATAATATAGTTTTCAGTCACCTTTCCTTTAAGCCTGGCTCAAAAAATGTTTATCAAACTCATAAGGAAAAACCCTTTCACAATGATATGAAGATGTAACCAAACACCTCCTAAAACCACCAAACGAGCCTCAAAGAATGGTGTTACTGACCCTCTGATATGCACAGGTTTGCTGAAATGGTTCTGAATGCTACGTGAATAGCCTCTCACCTGGATTGTGGGACAGTCTTGTCTACAAAGAGGAATATTGCTTTCTCAGATGGCAGTTGAATCCTCTTCCTGATGATCCACATGAACTGGGCCACGGTGATGTCAGATGGAACTAAGTACTTCCTCTTGTCAATATCAACAATCTGAGATCCTGAGACCTTCTCCACTATGACCTGTAAAGTGCAAGTGTGAAGGTCAGGATTGGTATGAACAGACAGCCTGGGTAAATCTCTTGCTGGCACAGGCTGGCAACAGTGAGCAGAGGGGAGGAACAAAAAGGTTTCTTGACTGCAACCAAATGAGAGGTAGAACTGGCTCAGTACCGTAAAACCTGATTTTACGGCTACACTAAAACCTACATTCATACACACAATGGCTCAAAACTTCCTGTATCTGAGGCTGACAGTCATGAGGTAAAAAGCTGCATTATGGCCAAAAGAAACCCATGACAGGGAATTACATGTGTCATTTAACTTTGTACACTGACGACAGGAAACCATTGCAATGTGGACCCAAAGTTGAAAATAAGCCAGCAGTGTGCCCTGGCAGCAAATAATGCTAATGGCATCCTGTGCTGCATTAGGCAAAGTACTAAGAGGTGATCCTGCACTGGTACTGGTGAGGCCACCTTTGAATTATGCTGAACTGACATTAGAACATCTTTCATCATACCTTAGGAAATCAGGAATAGACTACAGGAGGGAAAGAGCAAGATGGCCACAAACAAAATGAAAAAAAAAGCAGCAGACACAGGGGAAAGGAGAATTAAGCATTACTTGTAGAAAAGACCTGATGCTTACTGCTCCATACAGGCTAGTTCTTGAAGGAAAAATGCAGCAGGTGGAGAAATCAGTTTTACAAGAGGTTCCAGTGCCTCCATTCCTTAGCTCTGTGTTCCCCTTAAAACATTGTTCGAAAAACACCTTTAATTATTAAACTGGTACCAACTATTTTATGAAAGGTACATGGCTCAATCTGAATCATCAAGCAGAAAACATGGACCTGTCCAAACAAAGCACTACACTGCAATTTGAGATTTAATTCCTGTATCTACATACACCTTGTTGTCCATTCCTGATACAGCAGCATGTAATTCTGTCTCTCACTGAGAGTTTCTATGTCTCTTTTCCCCCTATGGTTAAGAAGGGTATTCTTGAAGCAGATGAATGGATATCTGTGGAGATGTATGGTCATTAAGGATGCTGCAGTCCATATATGAGGGGACAGGCAGGCAGGAGAGGATGGGACGGATCATATCAGCTCGCCAGACTGCAACTGGAGACAATGTTGTGACAACTAGTGCAACTGAGCAGCAGAGAAAGGCAACAGGAATAGATTCTTCTCTGGGCTGTGCTAATGAAGAAGTTACTCACCAAGAGGTGAGGCAGGAGTAGCACTAACTGGCCCATGGTCAGATGGGATGTGGGACATTTTACACATGAGCAAGTAAGTTGAGAATGTGGACAAGTTGCTAGCTGTTATATAAGGATGTGAAGTGTGGTCATTTCACAGACTGAAACATGATAAAAGGGATTGTGGAGTGAAGAAGAGAGGTCATTCACTATTTAACAGAATGGTAGGTATTAATGCAGAAAGGAGGGCTCACCACTTGTACTGGCTCTTCAAACAGTGTTTGCATGAGGAGATTCACCATGATGATTGGTTATAGGCATGGAATACAAGAGGGAATATCATCTAACTCATATATCCAGGATGGAAGATTGTCAAGGTTTAAAGAATTCATAATCTTTCTTAGGATCAGGCACAGAATGAATCCTCAAGATAATGAAGATGTTTGCTGGGATATAATTGCCATGAGAAGAAACCAGGACCCTTATAAATCATTAAAATACCTGGAAAGTGTTTATAGTTAGGCACTCTTGCTTATTTGTCAATATACACTGGGACAGGGAAGGGAACATTGGATTAGTTAGATGTTTGGGGCTTCTTTAAAACACCGAAGGATACAAGAAGGAACATTAATTTACTTAGTAGGAACTGATCAGAGTGTGTGAAGGATGGAAACAGCTTATCTGCCTTTGCCTTTAAGTACTCTGAGGAAGCTGGCTCGGTTACTCACCGGGACACGGTCGGGGTATTTGGCTCGGATTTTGGCCGACTCGACACATCTGTGCTCTGTGAACAAAACTCATAATTAGTCACTGCACAGGAATAGTACTGCCGGCGTCACAGGCCGAGAGGGCAGCGCCCGCAGGGCCGAGAGCCTGCGAGGACAGCAGCCACCTCCCCACCCTCCGAGGGGATCTTCAGCTTTTCGGCGAGGCCATCCCCGGGCATCGCACCACCCTTCGGCGAGGGCCGCAAGCGGCTGCCCGCCCACAGACGAGCGGCTGGGGGAGCCGACCGGGGCAGATGGCGACACAGCAGACGGAGGGCGGCGGGGCCGCTGGCGGGCAGCGCCCGGCCCGGGCCCACCCTTACCCAGCGCGTGGTCCTCCTTGAACATCCACTTCATGGTGCGGGCGGGCGGGAAGCGGAGCCGGCGGCGAGGCCCGTGTGCGGGGGGCGGGGGCTCGTGCCGGGCCTGTCGCTGTCACGGTCCCTGTCACAACAACAACAGCCGCGGCTCGGCAGGCGGGACTTCCGGCTCGCCCGTTCCCCGGCAACCGCCCGGCCCGCCGCGCTTCCGGCCGGGGATCGCGGGGCGGGGCTGTGGCATCCGGCGCGGAGCCACCGGCCGGTGGTGAGGCCGCCGCCAGCCCCGCCCACGGCGCTGCCGGGGCGCTCGGGACCGCGCCACGGGCTGGGCCGGCCCGGCAGTGCCCCGGCAGTGCCCCGACCGCGCGGCCCCTCCCGCCGCCGGCGCTGTCCCGCCTCACGCGGCCCGCGGCCCCGGGGGCGGCGCTGTGCGCTCATTGGCTGGCACGCCCGGCCCCTCGGCGCTGATTGGCGCGGCTCCCGTCAGTCCGCGCTGGTGCGCGGCGGGAGCGCGGTCCGTGCGGAGTGCTCGTCATGGCCGGCGTGGAGCTGTTCTCGCACCCAGCGCTCTACACGCGCTACCGGGCCGGGCTCTGCTCCGCTGCGGCACTGGCGCTGTTGCTCATCACCGCGCTCACTTATGTGCCGCCGCTGCTGGTGGCCTACCGGAGCCACGGTGAGCGCCACTCGACCCCACGCGGCTCGGCCGGGCCCGGCTCGGCCCTGAAATCTCGTGCTGTCTCTGCCCTCAGGTTTCTGGCTGAAGCAGAGCACGTACCTGGAGCAGCCCACTGTGCGGTTCCGGTACGAGGTTCTCCTCGTCGCAACCATCGGGCCCAGCCCGGGCAGCTTCTTGGCGTGGAGCACGTTCCCAGCGTTCAACAGGCTGCAGGAGGACCGGCTCCGAGTCCCGCTCCTGGCGGTAGGCCTGCCCGGGGCCCGGCAGCAGCGGCGAGAAGCGGGGCTGCAGAGTGGGGCAGCCGGCTCGGGGCGTGAGTGGGCACTGCTGCCTTCGAGGAACAGCAGCTTCACGCATAACCTCGTGCCTCACATCAGAATCCAGTTGGGAGAAGTGATTTTTAACGAGTCCCGTTTAACTCCCTCTTCAGTGCTACTGAATCATAGAATTACTTAGATTGGAAAAGACCTTTACGATCATCAAGTCCAACCATTAACCAAACTACCGGTTTCTGAACCATGTCCCTAAGCACCACTCGTGGTTTGCATGAACACGTCAGTTTACTTCCCTCAAATCAGTTGTGCTCTCCTCCCCTGGCCACATGGCTTATCATGATGTGAACTTGCATGGGTCGCTAGGTAGGCCCTAGTTTTGGAAGCATATATGAGCTTCCTAAAGCACATAGCCTTTGCCTTGCAGTCATTGTTCCTTCTGGGATTCCACAGTGGCAGTTATTTTTCCGTCTGCCTCTGTTAGGAGTCCTGCTATGCTTGCAAATAGCTGAGGTACTGGGCGTTTGTGGCACGGAGGTGTAGCAAGCCTTGGCTCACAGCCAGGAATTGGAGTAGAGAGGTCATTAAGAGGCATGCTGCAGTGGCAGGAGGCAAAAGCCTGACCACCTGTCATATTTGTACAGGGTCTGACAGAAGATTCAGCACTAAGGCATGCTTTGTAGGATGCAGGGGAGGTGGTCAGGATGGTGTAGGGCAGAAAAGACTTTGAAGAGTCTAGTGAGCTTTCCCCTCCTGGGGGGGCATATGAGATGTTTTATAACAGACAACATTGCAGGCTTCTTCCTTGTCTCTAGTTCTTGGTCTATCAAGTCAAGAAGCTTTTTATTTCTTTCGTAACACTGCAGCTTATTTGCTTCCTTTGATTGTGCATACTGCAGTTGTGGAGGTCCCCTGGGGTTTTACCTTTTCTGTTTTTCTTTCTAACAGAAATTCCTGTATTTTTAAAAAATCATATTATTTTAGACTAGAGAAGAAGACAAAAATCAAGATGGCAAGATGGATCAGTTGCATTTTGAATTGGAACTTCCACTCCAACCTACAGAGCATGTATTTGGCATTCAGCTGATTCTACTCTTTTCCTACCAGCTTTATGTGAGCATTTTTAGTTATGTTTGTTGTGATGTATAGACCCAGTGTAATATTCCAGTAGTGGTTATACAAAGGATGAAAAGAAACTTTTCACATTTGAAATTTCTATCTAAAATATATTTATTTTACTAACAAATATTTAATTTTCTCCTCTGCTGAGTCATTCCTAGTCTAGCTGTAGCTTGCGTATTTTGATACGCTTTGTTAGAAATTTTTTTTTTAAATTTTTTTTAAGATCTGTACTCTCTTGGGTTGTAGTGCAGCATAAAAGACAGAAATGCACAACAGTGAGTATCAGTGTGGGTGGCACCAGGAAATAACTGATAGTCTTGCAGTGGGGAGAAGGATGTGCATTCTTACATACTACTGTGTCTTGACATAACCAGTTAGTTTTCTGAGGTGGAGAGGCAGGCTGTTGCAACAGCCTAAAACTCCATATATTTTGCTTCCTTAACAACTCTTGAAGCATTGGTAATGATCTACCAGGATCTTCTGTATCTTGTAACAGGGAGGAGGAAGAAAGTATTACAGGAAGACAAGACAATACAATTCTGCTACTGTTGTATCTCAAGTGGCAGTGCAATTAATACCTAAAGCAACAAGTAAAACTCCAGTGTGCAAAGAACCCATGGATACATCTTAAAGGAGCAATAATATAGAGCTGGGTTGGATGCAGCCACGCAGACAAGAAGTTGTTTTTTCTAGGGAGATTAGGCTGAGCTTATCCAAGAGACTTGCTGATTGCAGGTAGACAAGTGGTGTAGAAAACTTCTTAAACCTGTGAGGCCCAGAATAAAGGCCCAAAAGTCCTAAATTTGGGCTGAAGTATTAGATCAGTGATTAGTATCACAGAGTTGCAATATTCAAGACTTCTATTCCACTGTAAATGTGAAAATTTTCCTTCAGGTTGAGTGGTTGATAAGAGCTGAGGAACTTTTTTATTTGGTCCTTATTGCAGAGCAGGAGTCTTGATTTTGATTGCTGAGTTTTTTAAAGTGTGTCTACAAGGAATGTGTTCAGTCATCTTGCTGCTTTTTACATGTAATACTGTCATTAACCACAGACTGTTGGACTGAATTTCCTGTGGAACTTTGTATGCAATAACTAAGGTAGATCACGTCATGAAAAAAATAAAAATAGTTTTTATTTGGTGTTCCCTTGTTTAGACCAATATAATGATCTGAAACTTGGGAGTCAGAAAAATATCGAATCCATGTAGAAAATTTGTAGATACAAAGAGGTAGAAATGTGTGTGTGGGGGGGTGTCCCTGCCTAAATTCTCTTCTCTTGTGTTCACTATTTCAGAGAATGTCAACATTTGTGATGCAGAGCATGGCTTTTCTTCAGTTTTTTTCTCCTGTGCCAGGGTCTGGGCTCTATATGAATGGAGACCTGAAATTGAACCAGAGGCAATTACTTAACCATTGTGGACTGGATACCAGATACAATGTGAGGAAATGTTTTTCCCTTCCCCATCAATTCCCCTCCCCTTTTATCCTCCTGGTATCATAGGTGACACCTTGGTTATTTGTAATCCTGCACAGAGTGAACCCTAAAACTTTGGAACCGGTGTTTTATTGTTAGGCTAAAAGAGGGAAGAGGTTATTGTGCCAAGATGTTCAGTCTGATGTTTATGTGCATTCCCTCAAGGGCATGGTTATTTTGTGTAAGAAACTCAGTAGAATTATTGTCTCGAAGACTGGACAAATAATGCAAGTGTCTCCTTGTTGTAACAGGTGTCTGTGGTCAATGGCACAAGTCCTTTTGCAAGTGACTATGATCTAACAAACATCATTGCAGCATATTGGGATAGAAATGGTAAGCCTGAATGTGCAGCTGTGAACTACAAGACAGTAGTAGTAGTTTGCATATTGGCAGATGTTTTGTGAGGTATTTGGGTCCTGTATTAAGACCTAAAAGCCCCTTAACCTGGATGTTTCCTTTCCCCATTTTAGTGACAACAGTCTTTTCAGATCCCAGCCCTGTATGGATGACAGGAAGAGCAACAGATACACCATTTATCATTAATGCCACTATTCATTATCCAGTGGAAGTTATTTTATATCCTTTGAAAACTGCATAAACTGTGACATAATTGGGTTGCGTTATTTAGGCCTTCACATACAGGCCAAGTGAAAACTCTTTTCTTCTAGATTTGTTTGTTCTACTTGCCTAACCACTTTCTGCCTTTCTCTACTGGGAACTCGTGTTGCTTTTCAGCTTTACTAAACAGGCCTTTAAGGCAGTTTCTTAGCCATTTTCAGTGAATATTCTTAGTGAATCTTGCTTTGCTCATGCAGCACCTGCTGTCCCAGTCTGTCAACGGATGCCACTAGCAAAGCACGGTACTGTAGTCTGGGACCTAAAGCACATCATTAGAAATATGCATGCAAGATAATAATAACCCCCACAGTGGAGGGGTTACATCTGTTACACATGCAAGCAGACTTGATTTTTTTTTTTTTTGCAAAATAATACTTTGTTAATTGGGTTTTTGCTCATTTTCTCAGACAAGAACCAGCCTGTGTTTAAGAGAATCTGTATGGAGCATACTTCTTAATGAGGTTTGTTTACCTGCCTGACTATTACGAATAACAACTTTCTGGTGAGTCAGGCACAAAATAGGTACTTTACCCAGAATTGGTTTAAATGTTTTCTAGGACAGATATTCTCCGCAGCTTTTGTTACCTACTGTGGTAAAAGGCTTTTAGGTGTTTCTGTGGCTCAGAGGCTTTGCATTTGCTACAAAAACTGATATCTTAATGGATTTTGTGCCTTTCTGCCTCTGAGTTCCTTTGTTTGCTTATTGCAATCAGAAGCTTCTTCATTAACACTCCTTGACTTTCTTTAAATATCAGCCAGGATTCTGGGAAATTATTAAATTTGCCTGGATCCAGTATGTCAGCATCCTCCTTATCTTTCTTTGGGTGTTTGGTAGGATTAAGATGTTTTTGTTCCAGAATCAGGTGTTGACTACAATTCCAGTATCATCAGTTCTGCCAGTCTCTCCAGTACTATCCTACAAACAGCACCAGTCCTGAGGAGATGCCTGAGAACACTTTAACGAAATGCAGTTCAAAAATAGTCACCTGCTTTTATTCTCTATTCACTTTTTACTTTGGAAGATCAGAATTTTGTAAGTATGTTTCAAGTATGCTCTGTTTGTGCTTCCTTTTTAAATACATGTTCATTCATCTAATTTTTCTGGGAACACTGCTTTGGAACTGAAAATTTTAATTTTTTTGACAATTAAGAGTTAAAGAAGAGCTTAGTTATTTTTTTTTGCAACTTGACCGTGCTTTAAAAGCCAGTAGGAAGCAATGAGTCTGCTTTTGCATTATCTTAATTTTGCTACACCTTGAAGACTGAAAATAATATGCTAAAAGTAACAATATAAACTGTTTTTACTGTCTTGTGAATTAATTCACTTCTTACTTAGAGTTCTGTCCAGAGCTGTTTGTACATGCATTTATGTACACTATGAAATGAAACAAAATATGAGGAATGTGAAAAAATGTATGGATGAGTTAAGGTCAGAGACACTCCTGTCACAGTACAGCCACAGTTATGTGTCTATACATGCTCAGCAATTTAGTTATTAAATTGGATGATGGATAAATTCAAGGTTGATGTGAGAAACTGGGTTGTGGGTGATAGCGTTTGCAAGGTTTGCACAACCATTTACTATTGGCATTATTACTGTAGCACTAGACCATTAATTGTGAATTGTGAATAGTAAAACAGAGAAGCCTGGTATTTATTGAAAGAAAAGTAACAAAAAATACTACCAGAGAAGCTTTAGAGTTCCAAAGCAAGTGAATAACTACTTTCAGAACTTAAATAGCTTAGAACTGATAAAAAATATAATCACCTGATGAAGATGATATTTACCAAATATAATCACTTTTTCAGATGACTCAGTTCCCTGAATGAACTTGTTATGTGCCTGCACAAGCATTTGGGTGGGCATAAGAAAGGGGTAGAAATCTCTGGAGAGGCCACAGGACCTCATTTTAAGGGTTTGAATGTTGTACTCTGACAAAACTGGAATGTGTAACAGTCTTCCTCCAGGCTGAACAGAAAGCTGTTCAAGGTAACAACAGGAACATGGACGAGACTAGTGCCAGCAAACAACAGTATTGGGAGACTTCAGTAATTCCTGTCTCGCTGTTATCTCCTATTGTAGCCTTTCACATTAAGTTATGACAAGTGATGCTGCTCAGAGCAACAGTTCAGTGAATGCATGTGAAATAAAAAATGGAGAATAGGTCTGGTTTAGGAAAGACAGATTAAAACATTCTTATGTTCTCTTTTCCTTTAGAAAGAGAAAGCTGGAAAAAAATCCTCTACAGTAATTTAAGTGGAGAACTATATAAGTTAAAGAGTTATTTGCTTGCCAGTGGCATGTAACTGTTTAGTATGACCTGAAACAATCCCTCCATTTCTTTTGAAAGAGGTGTGTTTCATGACTGCAGCTAGTAAGTGAATGCAGGGTAAATGGAGCCCTAAAGGCAAGTGTGACCACAGCAGGGGAAAAAAAACTTGTTTGTGATACCTCTGCTGTGGTAACTTCCTGGATCACTGTTATACTGAAAATAGTTCTTGGTTCATAGTTCTGACTCCTTTCTCAAGCTTGAAGAGACATTCTACTTCTGTAAGTAACCAAGCAATAGAAAAAAGATAATATTTTTCAGCTGTAGCAATAAACTGAACTACAGGGAAAAAATATACCTGAGGATCTGCTGCAAGTACCATTAAGGGAGGTTGAGGAAGGAAGAGCCTTTCTCAGAAGGCTGTCTGCGAGGACTCTTCCTTTAGCTTTCTAAGCGACCCAAAATAAAATGACAAAAAATATCTGAAACCAGTGCTATCCACCACAGTGCTACTACACAGATCTTATGTGTACACATATGCCAGAGAACAACCTAAATGCTCTTCACTGAGGAGGGACACAGTGGCTTGCTAGGATTAATCAAAGTTCTGTAAGTGATTCTGTAAGAAGAAAAAGTAAGCATCTGGATGTGAGAAACAGAGACCCAGTCGGGCAATTTTTCCAATCAGAATTTATTATATGATAAAAGCAATTTCAGCACTGGGTGATCAGGGAAGGGGTCCAACAACTCCCAACGCCTGTCACACCCAAAGAAGATAGTTGTTCTACATTTATTTCCAGCTACTTCATGAATATTCATTATACATAAGCATAAACATTACACATTGTTAAGTCAGACATTCAACAGATGTTTTTTTAACAAGAATGTTATCTATAAGCATCCATAATATATTGTCGAATCAGACACTCTGCAGATGTCTGCTTGCTATCTATACAAAGTTATAAATTTCAAGAAAGGTCCTATTTATCTAACTAAACAAAATTGTCTCACTATAAATCCTACACAAGGTAAAAGGGAGGTAACTTGTTTTATCTCTTTATAGGGGCCCAATTAAGTTTTACGACTTGTTTTTCTTTTCTCTCCAGGTCATATTGACCCTTCACTGTTTCCTCTTAATCAACTCGAATTATTTTCTCAGTTTATCACATGGATAAAGGTCCTATGCATAAATTGAAGTGGGAATGTGGCCGTTTAAGAGCCACGCTTCAGCAGTCTTTTAAGGCGTGGAGCTGGGATAAAAGAAACGACCCCGGTGCTCGTTAACCGGCCGTTTGCAGGGTCAGGACCCTCCGGTTCTGCTCGCCTGAGGCGAGCGGGACGCGGCCGCGCCGAGCCCTGTGCGCCTGGGGCTGGGGCGGGCTTGGGGGCAGAAGGAGGAGGGGGAGGAAGAGGACGAGAGGGAGGAAGAGGAGGGGGCTGCCGCGGCAGGCGGGCCCGAGGCACGCGGGGCGCTGCCCGAGCCGTCCCCGTGGGTGCCGCGCTCGTGGGTGCGGGGGGGCGGGCGCCGGTGCCGCTCGAGCCCTCGGGCAGCCGGTGCTGGGCGGGGCGGGGCCGCCTCTGCCAGGCTGCGCCTCTGCCCGGGGATGCTCCGGGAGCGGGGCGGATCGGCTCCTTCCCGGGCTCCTCCCGCTGCCCCGGCGCCTCGGCCACGTCTGAAAGCGGCTCATTGTCTCTGTCGGCAGCTCGGAGCCGCGGCGGTGGCGGCGGGAAGGTACGGGCGGGCTGGTGCGGGGGGGGTGGTGGCGGCTGTTCACAGGACTCGTCGTCGCGGTCAGACCGTTTTTTCCGGTGTCAGCGGTGCTTACAGTCAGTCGCACTACGCTTCAGGGGATGTACTCGAGCCGTTCGCACTCGCACTACGTTCCGGGGGCTGTTTTTGAGCCGTCCGCCCTCGCCCCTGCCCGTCCGAAGTAGCGGGAGCACCAGGTGCGGCGGAGCCGGTGTCGCACCGTCTCGAGGCGGCCGTTGGTTCAGGTGTAGTCGGTTGTTGACAGAGGTCAAGCTGTCGAAAATCAGACCTTTTTTTGGTTAGGTTTTTTTCCTTCTTCTTTCCTCTCCCCTAGAGAACATGGCTGAGGTGGTTAAGTGGTTTCGTTTGCTAAAGTCAGGTCGTGAAATAAGGTGCGTTAGAGAACATTTCCCATCATTCCGGGAAATCCCTTCCAGTTTTTCTGTTGTGTCCAGCCTCTCTTTCCAGATGAAGGTCACACACTGGTCGGAAGAATTTGTCTTTATTTATTAGTTGCAACAGTTGCTTCAGTGCGGCACACAGGGCACACCTCAGCCCATTCGTCCTAGGACGGTTTGAATTTGAGGACATTATTGTGCTGCTGCAGACAGAGTCTCAAGTAAGTGAATAGCATTCAGTCACTGTAGGTGTCTCTTTGTCAATCCAGTTTTGCCATAGTAAAAATTCTTAACAAAAATTGCAGCTAAGCAGACCTCATTTCTTGAACACCAGTAATTCTAGCAGCTGAAAACGCTTTGTGATCTTCAGCTGCACTGCATGGAGAAACAGGTGGTGTAGGGCTATGCCTCAACACTGCTTTTTGTTCAGGCTGGACAACTTTATCTAACTCCAAAAATTATAAATAAAACCCAAAGGAAACAGTACCTTTTGAAAAAAAGAACTTTAATGGTCATGTAATTAAATCCATGGTACGTTTAATTGTATTATAAACTATTTCAGCCTGATGATTTCCTACAAACATTTGTTCCAACCTCATTTGCCCCTAGATTGTGAAAAGAAGTACATTTCCAAAAGCTAAGTTAACAGTATCAGCTGGAATTCTAATATATTGTTATTATTCAGAATTATTACAGTACATTTACTATACTTTTATTGTTTTAGTTGCAGTTTCACTGTTCTATTAAAAAAATTAAGCAGACTTTTGAATTTCAACTATTTAGTATTGGCCAGCTATTAGAAAGACTTTTAACTTTTTGAAGTACCAGTAGTTACAGAAGGCACCCTCCAAACGAACTTTGATCTTTGAATGGGGAAAGAAAATCTGCATATTGTTGGCATTACAGTAACCTTTTGCCTTATGAAGGTGTGTGATTTCTAGCTGCAGAAGAACACTGGAAATCGATATTTTGTCAGCTGGGTGATTACAGCAAGAATTACTAGTAATATTGTTGTGCATTTTTCTTTGACCAGCTTTGTCATGTTCCTGCATTTTACTTTTTAGAGCAGCAAAGCGTGTTCCTAATGTTGAGCCCATAGAAGCAATTCTGGTGGTTGATTGCATTGGTGTGATGTCTTATAGGTGAAGTATGCAGTGAGTAAACTTCTCCATGAGGGACAGTAGAATTTCAGGTGATCTTTGCTCTGTTTATAATGCCATGCACAAATATTTTCCTGTTATTTCTACAAAATGCATGATGACGTTTACCATTATCATTCTTTTTACAGTCAGTACTGCTGCATCTGGTGAATCGTAAGTACATAGGTGATACTTATATTCATCTTGTATGATTGATCTGAAAAGTCAGCATGTAGTGTATGACAAACATACAGGACAATCATTGTTGGCTACCAAAAGGTATTAATTTTTCAGTGGAAAAGACCAATCTGGGAAATTAATTGAGAACATTATATGAAATTGAAGTAATTTCTGTGTAGTCTATAAAGACTTTGGTTTAAAAGTGCTGCATAAACTGTTTTAAATTAAAGTGTGCCAGACCTTTTCTTAGACTCAAAATGGCCAAGGAAGACTGACAAAGACAGTTAAAATTCAGTTGCTCAGAAGCCATTGTAGGAGAGCAGGTATTTATAATTCCTCACTCAGATATTTTGCTTTATTCCAGCCAGGGTTTTCAGTCTTCCCAAAGCAGACCTAGGCCTGTTGGTTCTGAGGGAGTCTTTCATCCCAGCCTTTTGTCCCAAGCTCAAAGAGAGAGCATGTTTCTTTACAGCTCTAATGTGAGGCACTTTCTTTCTGTCTTTCTACCATCTTTTTAGTATCCCAGAAAAAAAAATTGAGCAGTGTAAATAGGAGGGTCTTTTTTTTTTAAGCTATAAA